TGAGGTAGACCACATTGAAGAGGAGTAGATACTCCTATTTCTCCGTCCAACTTTACTCTCACAGATCTATTGGTCAGGAAGGAAGTGACCCAAGCTACAAAGCTATGTGGCCATCCTTGCTCCCTAAGCCTCTTGATTAGGCGGCCAGGTAGTACTGCGTCAAATGCGCCCTTAATATCAAGTGTAAGAAGGGAGGCCTCCTGTCTGTCCGCAAGTGCCTTTTCTATATCGAAGGTAAGGCATGTAGTGAGGTCTGTAGCCGCTCTCAAAGGAAGGGCCCCAAACTGATTTTGTTCAAGAACAGAGTACTTGATGGCTATCCATGAAGCTCTCTTTGCAAGAAGCCTTTCAAGCCCCTTGCCAAGGACTGAGAGTAGAGAAATTGGTCGATATGCTCGAGGTGACGACTTATCCTTCTTGTTTGGCTTTGGAATAATAGCAACAATAGCAGTACGGAAAATCTTAGGGTGGAACCCAATCTCAGTACATCCCTTGAATAGGGAGTACACCAGGTGTGAGATCTGGTGCCAGGCAGCCTTAAAGACTCCTGTTACTAGCTCATCCTCCCCAGGTGCAGTAGAGGCTTTCCCTAGGACTGATTCTTCAATCTCTCGTAGAGTAAAAGCTGCCCAGGGTAGCGCGCGTGTGGAGGTTGTGGGGGTGTCGGTTGGTATATCCCCTACTTCAGCCTTGTTTGTGAGTAGCTCCTGTACTAGGATCCTCTGCTTCTCCTGAGTAGTAAAGCCTAGCTGGCCGGCCGAGTCCTTCAAAGGGGGGGACTTGTATACCCCAGTACTCTGGTGCCATTTACAGATCTTGAAAACATCCTTGCTCTTTGTAGCTTTGTCGATCAGGCTACGGAAGTGCACTCCCTTTGCCTTCCGGATCTCCTGTCTAAGAGCCCTCTGAAGACCTTTTACAGCCTCTGGGCTGCCTTCGAGCCTTCGAGCCTTCCTAGCCTTGATGGCCGCAGACTGACACTCCTTGTTCCACCAGGGGTGTCCAAACCCATGCCCAAGGCCTCGCTTAGCACTACTGCGATACGCACTATGTACGCACTCAATGATAAATCTTGCTAGAGCCTCTAGTGATTCTGTGTCCGTTTGTTCGCCTAGCTCGTACAACCATTGCTCTTCAAGCTTTCCCTGCAGAGCTACCTCAAAGCCTTTAACATCAAGAGTGCTAAGTTTCAAGGGGGGGTCCTTCTCAGCTAGGCCTCCAAAGCACGGCAGGCGAGTGAGAACCGGGAGGTGGTCAGAGCCGCATACAAAAGTGAGGTCAACCTCTGTAGCTGCCCCTCTTTGATAGAGGTTGCTAGAGCAAAAGGCTAGGTCGAGAGTATTCCCAAGGTTGTGAGTTTGTGTAACAGATTTCATACACCCTGACAGTTTGTGTACCAGGAGGGGTAGTGAGTTGTAGCCCTCTATCCTCTACCCAGTCAATGAGCGAGAGGGCCTGGGCACTCTCTTGGCCAAGGAAGTCAGGTTGCCAGAGCTGGCTTTTCAGGTTAAAGTCCCCAGCTAGGAAGAGGTTTCTTGTAAGGATATGTTGAGAGCCAAGGACAAGGCTAACAGCCTCCCCTGCACCCTCAGCACCTAAAGGCGCGTTGTACACGTTGAGTAAGTACAGTGAGTGGCCTTGGGAGAGTGTAAACTCAACATAGACAAGGTCTCGGCATTTAAGCGAGGGGGCGATTGGGGTCTGTTGGCTTGTAAGGATGCCAGCCCCTTTCCGTACAAAAGTGAGTGCTCTAGGAGGGATAATACTCCAGTCACATATAGGTGCAAAGCAGTCGTAATTCGGGTGGCGTCTTGTAATCTGGCGGCTGATCTCCTTTCGGTAGATATACGGCTCCTGGATAAGTACTACATCAACTCTCTTAATCTGGGCTAGCTGTAGTACTAGCTCCTGGTATTCTCTGGACTTGTGTACATTAATTTGTAGGACTTGGAGGCAGTAGTGTTTAAAGAATCCCTGTGTACTCATAATGGAGTAGAGGGGTTAGCGCTCAGGTCTCCTTGTCTAGGAAGGTTGTAGTATGCTTCTTCCTCAGTGATAGCAAGGGAGTTATTAGCTCGTTGGAGAATTATAGACGGGGCCGTGAGAGGGCTATCTATGCTGGTTTGAGGGGGGGGGTTCTGAGGGGTAGTAGGTAGGTCCGGGTCCATTTCTGTGTCCACGCTGCTACAGGGAGAGTCTTCCTCTCTTCTTATCCGCGTCTCATTCCATGCTTGCCGGATTGCTCTCTTGTTCTCGGTTGAGGGGTGAGCCCCTGAGGCTTTTGGTCTGAGCTGGCACGTGGTGTCGTTAGAGACGTGTGGGCCACTACAGTGTATACACTTCAGTTTACACTGAGAGTGTCTAATACACCTAGGGTGGAAGGCTTCAGAGTGTTTAGTAGTACCGCATAGGCGACAACGCTGGTTCTTCCCACAGTTCCTTGAGTTATGCCACATCCAGCACTTAGAGCACTGTGTAACAGTAGAGACTTTAGGAAGGCGCTTGAAGAAGGCTCTTCTCCAAAGAGAGACGTCATTTCAGGGATAGAGTGAGGGGCCCTTGTGTCCTTTTCCTCAAAGAATACTATCCAAGAGGTGTAGAACAGCCCGTCAGAGAGAGAGCTAGTAGCCATGTCATTCGCTCTTCTATAGCCGCAGTAACTACACTAGGAGTAGTAGGGATAAGGGTTGATATAATTGCTCCTTTTTCATTGATCTGGACTGTTTCAACGCTTCGAGGGATCCCTGATAAACGGAATACTGCCCAGTCTTGGGAGGCCTCTATTCTGGCTGCATGGA